AGAGCTTAATAAGCCAGCTCTGTTAAGAGTTGTATATCAAGTACCTTTCCCTTATAAGGTGCAGATAGGAGTTAAAGGTGAGAGATATACCTTCTGTCTTTTGTTTTAGTTCCCCTATCATGTCTGGTGTGCCTTAAATCTTACCTTTAAATGAAGACTCTATGGATTGTTTACAGATGAAGTTTTACACTAGGAGCAGATCACCCATATGGTTGGTCTTCTGTAGTAATAATGTTAAATTCTCTTTCCTTTTCAGTTGTCCTTTAGGGTCACATAAAGATTAATTCTTTCAGAAAAGCTAATGCTTTGTACATGACTTAGTCTAACCTATTGGGTAATGCTGCTTCAAAAAATAGTTTGTCCTCCCAATTCCAAAAATGAATCCATCCAATCAGAAAAAAGGATTGCCCTGTTATTTATAGATGATTGCTAAGGTTTGAAATGAGAAAGAAGAGATAGAAAATCTCTAAGCCCAGTGGTGTAGTGGCCCCTCTGTGTCTGAATCTACACTTATGAAGCTAGTTAACTTTTCTTGTCCTGTGGCCTCATCTTGAGCTTCTTAATGGTTTTGTACCTCAAGTTGTTTTTTTGCATATCACTGAAGATTCACATCCTCAATTTATGTTGAATTTAACAATTTTCCCTTGGAGAAAATTGCCTCTAATATCTTGCTAATTTTATCTTAGTGTGTTTTAGGAACAGTTTTCCTTAAGAAGACAGCTTCTAAAAAACAAAAAGAAGACATCTTCTCTATGACCCATGGTGGTTTTTCAGTAAGAAACTTGCCACAGTTAATCAAAGTAAATGTTTGTCCTTTTCTTCTCTAATTTCTCTGACTCTGATTCCTTAATTTTCTGTGATATCTTGGAAATGGAAAAAGTATCCTTTGAGCTTTTAGACTTTCAGCAACAGCAGCCTGTGGGGCACTTCTGAGTTCCAGTGTGTTCTAGTTTCTTGTGAGTCCTGAAAGATAGCAGGAACATTTATTTCCCAGGTCACACTGATAATTTGTTAAAGCAGAATTTCCTGCATGTTTTATGGTGCTGTGCTAAAATATTCTGTCTCTAAAACTGTGTTACTTCTTGGGAAATTAGTTTTTTAAGCTTTTAATTGTGGAGGGTTTTTCCCTCTAGGTGGTAATGGGCAGTGGATCAAACTCCTTTTCTAAACAGTTGAATTTTCAGTGTAAAAGTCTGTGGAAACACCACTCCCTCTCCTCTGTGCCCATCTCCTCAGAAGTTCTGTCTGTCTGCGTCTGTTCCAGCACGTACTTAGGACTCCTTTACAGGCGACCATTCCTCCTTCCTCAGTAGGTGTCTTCAGTGTTCTCTAAATACTTACAACTGATTTTGACAAGTGGCTAAAACTTACTTAGCCTAAGACTTGTATTTAATATAGTTAATTATAAAAATAGCAACTATTTTAAAAATTGTTCTGTTGACTGCTCTTAAGACCACACTTGTATGCCAGGAGGCAGCAGCCACACCACTGGCAACCAGCGAACAGATTACAGTGGAGGAAGTTGTCACATGGTATAATATTGCCCAGCCTAGGCCGGGCTGTGGGGAACACTCCCCTCCAGGTGATTCAAGTTTCCACAGTCCAGCCTAGGCCCAGCCTGACTGGGGAGCATTCAGCCCATTTCTTGCCTCAGTGCCACCTTTTTCTGGGCAAGTAGTTAACTGATTTTATAAGCAGTGAATACTTCAGATAAATTCACAGCTGTAGTTGCTGCAGAGTAGAGAAGGTTGACCATCACTAGTTTAATTCTCCAATGTAAAAGCTGTCTAGAGTAATGTGTGCACATGCCCACACATGCCTGTGCTCGGGGGTGGGGGCGGCTCTCGCACTGATGGATGCACAGGTGTCTGGGTTGCACTTTGAACAACACACTTGTGGCTTTATTAGGTTTGCTGTTGTTTGTTGTTTTTAATCGTTGTTTGTTTCTTTTCATTCAAGAAAGGTCTAATCAGCTAGATCAGACAGCATCATTTTTGTATTTAATGACAATGACTTTGAGAAATTACCTTATTGAATAAGCTTGTGTTGTGAAGCAAGGCCTGCAAGACACACCTGTTGTAAATGAACGTTCTGGCTCTGGAGGCTGGCAGCACTCTGGAGTTTCAGAACAGTCTGTAGTTGCTCCAGTCAGCGATGCCTGGTTGTGTAGAGGAGAGGTACGCTGTGCACTCTTCTAAGTGTGAGGGTGTGCAGCTTTGGATTTTAAAATTATATACACATACACAGTTTATATATATGTATGTATGTATGAAAACATGAAATTAGTTTGTCAGAAATGTGTGTGTTTAGTATTTTAGCTTAGTGCAACTATTTCCACATTATTTATTGATCTAAGACACTTTCTTGTTGACACCTTGAATATTAATGTTCAAGGGTGCAATGTGTATTCCTTTTAGATTGTTAAAGCTTAATTACTATGATTTGTAGTAAATTAACTTTTAAAATATATTTGAGCCCCTCTGTAGTATTATAGGGCTCATACAGGGTGGGAAGGATTTTAATTTTCCAGTTGCTAATTAAACAAAAGGGCCTCATTATGTATTTTGAATTATAGAAGTTTGCCTCTGGGTCCCAGGAACATCTACTGGGAAGAATGTTTTAGGCAGATTGTGAAGATTGTTTTTTAAACCTAAGTAAATTACAAAGCAAAACATTTCAAATCCATCTAGATTCCTATAACTCATATTCCCTAATTATGTGGAACACAGATTTCATTTCAATTTCATGTATCTATGTGTTGGAGAGGCAGAATTTTTTCCAATAATAAATAATATTGCACATCTAAGGTTGCTATTCAGTAATATAAATAGAAGAGATAAGTATTGAATGACTTAGAATATATAGTGACAAGAGGCCAAATTGTTCATGTTTGTGAGCATTTCTTTCACTTATTCACTAATAGAGAAATTCATTTTAGACCCCTAGACCCTATAACTAAGCCAACAAGTAATAGGAAGTAAGTTATTAATAGCTGGTAAAGCAAATGCAGATTCTGTTCACTCAAACCATATGGTTAATTAAAAAGAACTTATGGTCTCCCAAAAAGCGAATGGAAAGAATATCTTCTTTTTTTCTTTTTGGTGGCATTTGGTCACAGAATAAGGCATTAGAGTTAAGTCTAAACCAATCTTTAAGCAACCTAAAATAGCAACCCAAGTAATCGTCATATAATGAAGTTGACTTTGGGAAATGTCAGCTTTGACCTCTCCTTGCCCACTGTTCCTCAGCTGAGCATAAATTCCCATTCTTAAAAAGAAACAGCCAAAAGGTGCTCTAGTTTAGAGCATGGGGGGAAAAGTCCCACCCAGAAATTCTAGTAATACTCTGTTTTGACCTCTTACTGCTCCCACATGGGGTTTCTTTTCAGCTTTTTACCACTGGAATTTTCTACCTAGTATGTTCCTCTCTGGAAAACATCTATTTGGAAATGCTGCCTTTCAGATCAATGCCATAATTATCCATACTGTTGAGTTTGTTGTTGCTGTTCAAGAAGTGTCCCCATTTTACAATGTCATACACACACCTGGCAGATCATTGACATGAGCATTCAACAGTACTGGGGTCGAGGTGGGGTGGGAATGGGCAGAGCTCACCAACAGAGCTGGCCCAGGTGGAAGTGCCTGAAAAGGCGTCACCTTTGAGGACCAGATGTGGGGTTGGTAAGCACAGTTATGAAAATTTCTATCTAGCCTCCGTTTTGAATGGTTTTAAGAAATTTTGTATATGGAGGACATAAATGCTTATATATTTATTGAAAATCCTTTTTTTTTTTAATTAAAATTATTTGGTGAATAATGGTTTGATATTTGGGGAGGGTTTTGGAGGGGAGGTAATGCCACTGATAAATTAAAAGCCTTGTTGATTCTGCAGAAAGGTACTGTTAGCGTCTGATAGGATGCCTTTATTTTATACATGATCCAAATCTTTGTTTTACATTTCTTTTATCCAAAATATTTAGGCATCTGACATTTTCAACCAAAATTTCAATTATATACTGTGATTTTTATTTGTTGCAATACATTAAAATTTCAGAGGTACTTTGGGGCTCAAAAGCTAGGATTTCTAAGTCAGCATGTGCATTTCACATAATAAAGCTGTTAATGGTGAGCAAAGTATTATATACTAACTAGATTTTTCCACATCTGTATAGTATATTATATGTATCTTGAGGTATTGAGATTATAGAAAGTTTAGAGTGTCAAACATGCGTTTAATGTGTATTTTTAAACAAATTTATGGCAATTAAAATATTTGGAGACAAGGGTATCACATTTCAATTTGTAAAGATCTTTTTAACTCTACTGTGTCATTAAGATGCTTTGTATAATGCCAAACCATAGCTGGAGAAACTAAGTTTAATAAATATCAAATAGATTTTCTGTATTAACGTTTATAAACAGTGTGCTCTCTATACTTTTTCAACTCTTATTTTGCCTTTTGTGTGTACTTTCTGTTTTGTATATTAGGGTCCAGTGCTGCTACTCTTTTACAGTCTGGTCCCACCAGTCCAGGTCTTAATTTCTGATTACAGAAATTCTGAACTGGCTGGCCATGGGTCCCTCTGCATAGATGATAATTCTCCCTGCTCCAACAGAAATCTCATACACATCCTTTTTGTTATTCTTGGTGGCTTGGGCTGTAATTGTTTCATTAACTAGGTTTTTCTTCTGGTTCTCTCTGTTCATAGACAAACCAATATTGCCTGTCTTGCACCTCACTGATATGTTCTTTACATGCAATGAAGGGTTAAGATCCAGGGCCATAGTTAATGAACTTGCTGAGGTTAATCACTAGCTATTACTAAACTTTTGCCTTTAGCCTGCTATTGTGTTTCTGTTTTTATTACCTGAAGAAATGTTAACTCTTACTGCAGTTTTCAGATTAAGAAGTTAACACATTATCATTAGGCAATGCTGGGTTTCCTGTAGTATACAAAATGAATCCTTCCCCTCAGAAGTGTGAATTCCAGGCTGCCAAAATTTCAGTTTGAGACATTTAATAGTATCCATAGAAAAATAAACTTTTAAGTTAACAAGTTTAGTTATGCTTATCTACATATCAACATTCTAAGAAGAAACAGACGAATTTAAAGCGTATATCTGTCTTCAAACATTTAAAAACAAGATTGCTTTACTTAAGTGTCTCCAGCCAAATGCAGTTAGTCAATATTCCATAGAACAGAGCATTGTTGTAGGCACATGCTGCCCTTTTTTTCCGTGGTGTGTACATCATTCCTGGGCCACACTTAGGGAGCAGCGTCTTTTTCTAAGGGAAGAGAAAGGTGATTTTTAGGACAAGGTCTGGCAGTGCCCAGAGCCACCCATGCTTCGTTTCCTTCCTGTGCTTGGTATCCGGTCTCAGGGGAGAGCAGAGAGAGGAAAGGTACTACTCTGTCAGGGTACCGGTGTGCAGCGGTTCTTGGCTCTTAACTCTTGAGGAACTGTCCTCCATGGAGCCCCTATCTTTGGCCCAGGCAGTCCTCCACCCCAGTTTCATTATTCGGTCTGTATGTGCTGATCTCTCCTCTGCCCAACTTCCCAGGCCTCTTGGGTCCAGCCAGCCCTGCTCACAGGTTTGTGGAGTACCTGCATAGCCTCGTGATACATTCAGAATCATCCCGACAGGAGGCTCCAATCGGCCTGAGGGAAACCCCTCTCCAAAATGGGGTCATTCTCCTCGGCCTTCTCTTTGCTGAACTCAGTTCTGGTATTGGAGAGCCATCTACCTGTAGGGCAAACACATAGCCACCTCAGGTGTGGAAGAGTTGAAACCTTACTGTTTATCTTAGAATAATGATCACCACCCCACCCCACCCCACCCCCACCCCCAGATGCTATAGACTCAGAGCAGAGGGGTCCATTCCTCAGGACTAAGTCTGGCTCTCAATTTCTGCCTACAGTTCCACCTCCACTGCTACCATCCCCACACACCCACATACATATCCAGTCCTTACCTGGGCTAATGGCAACAGGCAAATCATGAGTACTGCAAAGAGTTTAAGGTGCCACATCTTGATAGAGAGGATCCAAGAGCCTGAAGGCCGGGAACAGTACCCGCTTCTTTTTATAGACAGACCCACCTCTTTTTTGGTTGCCAGGTAAGATGGGGGCAAAGTCTATATTTGCAGTCAAAGTCAGTTTAATAAGTTAATGTCTACCAGAGAGGAATGTATTCAAGGCCTGCCTCTCAGGCACGTATTTACTGATCCCTCATCTGGACTTTGTGTTGCTGGCTTGGACTTTATCACCCATTTTACCAAAAGTCAGCACTACCTCCTCCCCTTTGAAAAGCCACGTGAAGCCATTGAGGGAGACCAGGCACCTAGCCACATTTTCATTCCAAAATAGCTCAGTGAAATCATTAATCAAAATAGAATTCTCATAATGAGGTGAGGTCTTTAGAAACAGTGTTGAGTCCTTTCAGCTTATTTAAGAAAGAAGCACTGATCTCTTTTGTTACAGGCAATTGGATATGGCCCTTATCTCCTTTCAGTGGAAAGATGTATGTGGGAGGATACTTCAGTCAGACTTGCCTACAGTGCCCCAGATCCTTGTTTGTATAGATTGACTGTCACCCTCATTATTTGTTCCACATCATTTGTCTAGAAAATGGAAACCCAGCAGCAGAAAATTCAAAGCCCGACCTACCTGCTATCTCCCAGGGGAAGGGCGATCAGGAGTGACATGTTTCAATCATGGGCAAATAAGTATTGGTTGACTTTGTTTCTATCTTTAAAATTTGAGGAAATAGCAGGGCCTCCTAAGTCAGTGAAGTGGTGACAGATACTGCAAACCTTCAATTATTAGCTTTCCTGCCAGTACATGACTGAGCCTTTTACAGAGCACATCCATCAACTTGAGGGAAGCAGGCATAGGGCTTAGATCTCTCCAAAGCCCAAAACATCTGTCACCTTAAATAGGAACCCCTGCAAGTCCCTAAACCATGGGTACTCATTAAATGACAGATACTTTAATAAGTTTGTAGAGAAAGGTGTGAATTCGAATTCTGTGAAAAAGATATATAAAACTTCAGATCTTCCTTTGATCTGGAAGAAAAAGCCGAGAAAGGCAACAAGATTTTTATTTTCTGCCTTGTATCTCCCTGAACATTTGGCTGATTATCTTCCCTAAGCCCTTCTCATCATCACAGGTTGGATATGGCAGGTGAGAGCCTGCCTGTTCCCCAAGAAAAAGTGGTGGAGATGTGGCACAGCTGAAGGTACTACAGGACAGTCACCAGTCTTCTTGCCAAGGAAGTAAAGGGTAGTATGGTAGACCTCAGAGCTGGGGTTGGGTAGGGTAGGACCACAGATCATCCATCTGCCTGTTCCCAGTCCTTTCAGGACCAGGCCAGGCCTGGAGACAGACGCCTCTGCTTGCACTTAAGGAACATGGAGAGGCAGACCTATGCCAAACTCACCTAACCAATCCTCCAAGTTTGAGACTAATTAGCTGTTCCTTCCCTTTACTCCTGAGCTTCGATACAGCATGACCTCAAGTAGGGGCTTAACTAGGAACTTCTGTGGGATGGAGAAGAGGCTGTGAGGTGACCTAGTGAACATTGGGTAAGAACAGAAATCTGATGAAGTAAGCAAAAGCCTGAACAACGTGATAGCCTAGAGCCAGTTGGGTCTGTGGGCTGAGGGCCAACCTCCCCTTAACAAGCCTACAGTGATGTGCCAAGTGGGATGTGGAAAGGGTTTATTCCCAAGATGGACTCTTTCTCCCAGTCCTCCATTTCTGCCATCCTGTACTTCAGGCAAAATCAAAGTAGTCTGTTGTGTTAACTTACAAAGCCAATACCACAGCCAAGGGAAAGGTCTGGGGCTTTGGGGCCCCTCTTTATAGGGGGAATAAAGGACTGGCTATTCATTGTCATGGGTGACAACACTGCAGAAGCCTTTTTGGCCCAAGCCTCTATCTTGTATGCCATCCCTCCTCCCAAAAGAAAAGATCCATTAGTTACTACCCATGGAGGAATCCCTGTGAGGGAGAGTATTTCAATATGTGTCTACACTAACTCGGTAGTTGTTTTACTTAAAATCAAACTTTTAAAAGCAAAGTGGCATCCAGACAGCATTCAGCTGAAGTGACAGAATTGTCCAGATGTGGGCATAGCCATCCTGCATCCCTTGAGTAGCTGTGAAGGCCTATTCCTAAAATTAAAAAAACAAAGAAACATTTTAAAAGTGCAGGAGCTTTCTACAATCAAGTATTTTGCTGAGTGACTCAACATAAAAGTACATGTTCCTTTCTCCAGCAGAAAGGTCTAAGCAGCCATAAGGAGAAGAAATGCTCGGCAGGAAAGCAGAAGCCAGGAACCTACGTAGGGTAGCTAACCAGAGGCCAGCCCTGCCCCTCTGATTGGGCTTTAGTCTCTTGTGTCAATGAGATGGATGGGAGCACCTCTGCGAGGCCTCCCAGGCACTGACATGTGGGATTTCAAATGATTAATTTACAAGAAGAAAGTGAGACTGAAGCACAGTTGATAGCTTACAGCTTGGTAACTATGAATACAACTCCGAGGGATTTTCTGTTTCTGCAGTTAAGTGCCTAGGGTGAAATGGGAGACCGAGAGGGTAGCTACATGAACAGCTGTTTGAAACATTCCAGGTGGAGGGAAGATCATGAAGGGCTTGACAATAACTGGAAACTTTTTTGCTGTCCCTGAGTAGGAGATGCCTAATGAAAAATGAAAGACTGAAATGGAAAAACTTTTCCGGGTAAAACTTCCAACAGAGTGTATTTGCTCAATTGCTGGCTAGAACTGGCGTGGACTTCTGGGCCTGCATCTCTGGGAACGTGTTGGCTGATGGAAGTGTTCCCTTCACAGCATTCTGCAGACCAGAGATAAATGCCTTTGTGGGAGCAGGAGCATTGCTGGGGAAAAGGAGGGCTAAATGAAAATGTGATTGTGCCCCAGCAGGTGAAGGAGCCACACCAGGGCTGGAGGTTCCAAGTGGATGGGTTATAGGGATAGAGGCCCACAACAGTGGTCCCTCTTAAGAGACCACCCATTTTCAGTTTCCTTATGAATTTCTACAGATAGAATAGTCCATAAAATGATCCCAGATCCCAGTAATGTACAGGTATACTGAGCTATAATTCATATTCCTCACCACCACCACTACCCCCACCCTCCAGGACCCTACTACACAGAGCTGAGTCACCAAACAGGGAGGGAGGTCCTTTAGTGAGGGACAGGCTTAAAGCAGCGCTTAACAATTTTTTCTGGAAGTAGAAGCTTAGCACGTGGAAAGGCTTATAGGACAGTCTTCTCAGTAGAGCACTACTGGGATAAAATATTTCGGACCACAAGGCTCAGTACCTGGTCTAGACTAACAAAGGGTTAAGTTTGATTTGGGGCTGGAATCTCCAAAGCACTCAAAGAACCAGAAATAAAAGGCTAAAATGAAGCAAAGATGGGACAAGGGTGGCCATGCCACCTAGGAAGCTCGGGGCTAAAATTGGAGGGAAAAAAGAAAAATAAAATTGGAGGGAAAAAGAAACAGAGATCAATGGCCTGACAAGGCAGTAATCGATCCTCCCCTGGCCCATGAACCTGTTTGGACTATGCAAGATAAAGAATGGATACATTTACACCTTCTTTAAGTTCACAGCTTTCATCAGATTCTCAAAGGAGACTATGACCCAAATATGTTGCATATCAGGCAGCGAGCCCTGGGAATAAACTTGGACAAGAAGCCAAACAGGAAAATTAGTTTGGTGAGGCTAGTCTTCATCACACCGCAGCTCTGTTAGGCCTGCACTACCTTACCAGACTCTTACATGTCACTCATTTCAGTTACCTCAGCCCTATGGCTTTGTCCTATACCTATTTTATGGGTAAGCAGTTCATAGCTCAAAAATGAGGGAATTCTTGCCTTTACCACACATTTGGGAAGCAAGTTAAAAGGAATAGGCCCCAGGTCTATTTGTCTCAGCTGTACCTCCTTATCCTGCCTCACAATCAATGCAATCTACTGATACCTTAAGATTTTTGAGGTAGTTTTAGTTCATGAAAGGCAGGAATAAGAGTAAGAAGGAAAGACACAGCCTGAGCCAGAAGTTGACCTACCCTGTGGAAGCTGCTGCTCTGGACCAGGACAGCTCCTTAGAAGAGAGGACGTTTCTAGAAATGGAGTAGGGAACCAGAAGCGTAAACTTCCAACACCTACCCCCACCATCTCCTGGTGAAGGGAAAAGGGTACTTTTTCCACTAGAAGGATAATTCAAAGGCTCTAAGACAGGAGTAAACATTTTCCATAAAGGGTCAGAGAGTAAATATTTTAGGTTTTATGGGTCATACATGGCTAAAAAGCACTTTTAGCAACCTGGTACAAACACAGCCAGTTTGCTAACCTCAGTTCTAGAGGTAAAGGAGTCGCCTCACCTCTTCCTTTGATAGCTATCGTGTAATACAGCATAGCTTTAAGAACAGAAACTTGGGATCGGGATGGGGAATACATGTAAATCCATGGCTAATTCATGTCAATGTATGACAAAAACCACTACAATATTGTAAAGTAATTAGCCTCCAACTAATAAATGAAAAAATATATATATGAGTAAAAAAAAAAAAAAAGAATAGAAACTTTAGTGCCAGATTCTACCATTCACCAGTTTTAAAATTTGGGGCAAATTACTTAACCTCTCTGCCTGTGTCCTCATCTGCAAAATAAGTGTAATGGTGATACTTCAAAGGTACTTGTGAAGGAAAAAACACCAAAGGTAGCTGTGAGGTTTAAAAGACATTATTTGTGTAAAAGGCTAACAATACCTGACACACAGTAATTACTAGATTTTACTGTCAATATGGAAGCAGTGGGCAGGGAGCTAACATTCCCTACAGTTGATGCCACCCACAACTGTTCAGTTGCAGCTAGTCTTGTAGATTACAGAACAAGGGGTGAGCCACACTCCTTCCCAAACTCAGACTAGCCAAAATGGTTCAGGAATCATGCTGGGGAGGGGAATTTATGAACTTGAAAACTGGCAGTCACATCCAAGGACTCTGCTTACACAACACACAAAATCACAACAGTGAAGTCCATAATAAGTTTATTGTGTCTTCAAGACACTACAATATACACTCCTCTCCCAGAGAAGGGTCTTTCAGAGACAAGGAACCATTATCCAGATGAGTTGCTTATTTGTCATTTTCATAGGCAGCTGGATTCTTCCTCTTCGATTTCTCAAACTCCTGCATTCCCCATGTGTAGACAAGATAAAACACTACGAACGCTATAAAAATAATAAATGAGAGTAAGCAGTGAGCATATACAAGACACATGGATCCCAGTCCTCTTTTCTGATTCACCTCATATTCTGCTTTCCAGTCTCTAGTTCTTAAGAAATGACTCTTAAACCAGGTGATCAAAAAGTTCACGCTTCAAATCCACTTTTCAGCTGTGTAAAAGAATGGGGTTTATCCAGGAAAATTGTGAATTGTGACCAAATCTTCCCTATCGCTCCCCTGTTGCACATTTTTAAATGCTTTAAAAACTGAGGTCAAAAAAAACACAAAACTGAGGTCAAACTGACATAGCATAAACTTCATTGTTCAACCATTTGAAATGTACACTTCTGTGGATTTTAGCAAAGTCAAAATGTGCAACTATCATCACTATCTGCTGCACCTTTAACACAAAACAGTTCACTGCTAAGAAAGAAGTGGGTAAAGGTGAACTCAGAGGGAGACACTGGAATCACACGTGACCTTGAGCCAGTCATTTCTCTGTGACCCAACTCCCTCATCTGTAAGATGGGGAAGATATGACCAGTTCAACGGCATTCAAGACTATTTTAAGAGAAAGCGTGTGTATGGCGAGCTGCAGAGTGCTCACTGAGGGGACCCGCAGTACACTCTGTGGATGGGAGTCTAGCCCCTCCGCCCGGCCAGGGCACTCACGCGGCGCGACGCGAAGGATGCACGCCCGAGTTCGGCGCAGCACGTTGGGGATGCCCTTGCTGAAGTAGTGCGGGAAGGCGCGCTGCTCGAAGGGCGACAAGCTGTAGGTGATCACATGCCGCACCCGTGTCAGATGCCCAAATTCGCGGCCCATGGTCGCGGCGGCCTCTGCAAGACGGAGCGTGGACAGGCGTTGGGCTCAAGCCCGGGACTTGCTGCCGTCAACCCGAGTCCTTCCGCGGCGCTCCTCATCCTCCCAACCTAGAACGCAACCCCACCCTCCAGGGGTCCCCGAGACCGCGCGATGCGGCCCCACTCACACACCGAGGTCACCTCGTCCGCTTCAGCACAGGACCCTCCGGCTTCCGTCCGCCACTTCCGGTAGGATCGGACGCCGCGCTAGGAAGCGGTGAGGTCACTTCCGGGAGAACTAGTTCCCCGACTGTCTCCAGGTGACGGCGCCATCGCCCCCCCGTGGCGAAGAGACGTGCCCCCGCCGCGTGACGTAAAGTGGGCGGTGCCTGCTCTGGGGTGGGGCCAAGCGCCTCTGGGCGGGCTCTGGGGTCCCGGGGAGCCCCCCACCGGATCACCTCAATCTTCTCTTCGGTTCCCAGCTTTCCTCGGAGCCTCAGGAAGCGGCTGGAACCGGACTAACAGTAGAAGAGCGAGGGGCCTGTCAACCTCGAGAGCTGCTCTAGGGTCGGGTGTCCTGGCGCGGTGGAAAGCGTCTTTGAGGCCGCCGCCTGGCAGTCAACGCGAGGTTTTGTAGAGTCATGTCCAGTAAGCTGGAACCGGAATCGGCTATGGTCAGGCCCCAGGATCCGAATCAGGGACACGGATCTGAGACTTCTCTTGTCAGCCACCGGATTAGAATCCACTGGCAGGGTGTAGACTTCCCCAAGAGATAATAAAAATGTTTCCATTTTATTGGCTAAAATGTTTCCATTTAGCCACAAGAGTCCACAGGTAATAGTCCAGCAAGTGATAAGCAGCTGTTAGCGATTGTAGGAGGGAAGAGGCAACCTCCATCGCAGCCGGCTTCGCCCTGACAGAGTTCTTGTTTGGGGCCGAATGTCACGTTGCCCATTGTTCACTCCACTGCCCAGGAGGGAGGCAGGAACGTCGCGTGTGAGGCGATTCCATTTTCAGAAAGTGCTTTCTACTTAAGGATACTGCTGTCCTGTACAGTTGACTGACTTTTCCACTTGATGCAATGTGTCTAAATGGTTTTTTGTTTTGTTTTGTTTTGTTTTGTTTCATGGAATTGCTGGCCATGTGTAATCTAGGACTAAGTTCTCATTCAGCAGTTTGGATGTGTTTTATAACCCTCCTTGCCAGATCCGGGCCAGGGAGGTTTGGCAGACAATGAACTTAAAATTTACCAATATACCTCGGTTTTATCAGCCTGGGTACTGCACAGACTGGTTCTGTATCTTACACGGTGAGTATATTCAGCTCTTCTTAGTGCACCCATGTCTCATTTCTCTGAAACATAATCTCTAACCTGATCTTAGCTCAGAGGCAAGAACATAAGTACTTATACAGGTAAGAACAAAAATACCTAGCAAATTCTCCCACCATTTGAGTGATTAATAAAAAGCAAACCTTTCATTTATTTTCTAGCACCTGAAAATGTCTTTAAACCTTTCCATTAAAGTATGCATAGATGAATGTGCAGACCAAAATAAAGGCATCAAGATATTATATTTTAAAATGAGTCAAGATTAAATGTGATCTCCTTTTTAAAGCATATTGCAGTATTCCAAGTTCATATCCTTATAAAGCTACCTGAGAGAACTAGGCAAAATAGCAGTTCTCTTCTTTCTGGAATCTTAATTCCAGTTGTGAATTTCTCTCACCGTCCAAATCAACATGCAGTAAATAAATATTCTAAGCACCTGGAAGTGGGAGAGGTGGTGCAGACGCAGGGGGAAGAGTAAACCCAATACCATAAGTTGCATACCAACAGATCTGGATATCATCATGAATAATTAGCTTTTCCACATGCCTTGGAAGTTTCAGCAAGCACCTAGGGAACATTTTAAGAATCCTAATCTCTCTCAAGAAATGGGCAGCTTTTTTTTAAAAAAGATCATTCCTCACTTTCTCTTAGCCTTTCAGCTACATAGCTAGTCCATTAACTTAAGAGATTTTAAATAAATGCCAGGGGAAAGGAAAAGGAAAACTATATAACCAAGTAAATCTGTATCTAATTAGGACAAACTGGATGACTAGGGTGTTGTCAGCTGATAAAAATTATCCTCAGCTAAGGATCCTTAAGGTCTGATTACAGAAGTGAAACTAGCCCACCCACACACCTGAAGTTTATATAAGAGACCAACCGAGGCGCTTCCTGGTTTTTAGGAAGAAGACTGGTATGGGGAAATGTGTTCCTTGCTAATTCTTCCAAGCCATGGCACTTCCCAACAAATTCTTCCTTTGGTTTTGCTGCTTTGCCTGGCTCTGTTTTCCTATCAGCCTTAATTCTCAGCCTTCTAGGGGAGAAGCTCAGACTGTAGCTAGAACTGCGTTGGAATCTGAGGCTGAGACTTGGTCCTTGCTGAAGCATCTAGATGGGAGACACAGACCTGGTCTTCTTTCCCCTCTCTTAAAGGTTCTGTATGATGGGCACAGGGGACCCCCCAGGCTGCAGCCAGATGACAGAGCTTTGCGCTACATGAAGAGGCTCTATAAGACATACGCTACCAAGGAGGGGACCCCTAAATCCAACAGAAGCCACTTCTACAACACTGTTCGGCTCTTCACCCCCTATGCTCAGCACAAGCAGGCTCCTGGGGACCAGGCGACAGGTGTGTGGGAGCAGATTGGTTATTGGGTGGAGGGAAGAAGAAAGACCTTTTGCGTTTCAGTTACGAAAGGAGTTGGCCCTTGCTCCTTGACTTGCATTTTACTTTGCATGGTACTCAATATCCAAATCCAAACAAACCTGGTACTTGATCTTACTGTTTATTCCTAATGCCCTCATGGGTTGATGTAGGCTAAATCTCTTGCTAGAGGGGATTTAATGGCCCTAAAGCCTGGGGAGAGTGCTGCTGGAGGTTAACATCTTGTCCAGGGTCACAAAATCAGGACTGGAAAAAAAACATTTTGACTTCATTGTATATTCTTTCTAGTCTACCAATGTGGGCCTGGACATGAACCTACAGTACCTCTTTCAGCTGTTGGTGTGCTTTAGTAAACAGGATGTTTTCCCCACGTTTGGTGCTTTCTGTGAGAGGAAAGCTTAAATCCTTATGTGAAACTCTAGATCCATACAAGGACAATGTGTTAGTCAACAATCTTGTGTGTGTGAGAGAGATGGGAGCAGTGCTATTTAAAAAAAGAAAAAAAAATTATATTCATTAACTCGAGACTTACAGAAAACCCTCCTAACCCAGCAGGTCATTTGTGGCTATCTTAAACCCTTTCTCCTTCCTTGATGTCCTGTTTTGTTACAGTGGGTTTAGAGCTTCCATCTGTTGTCAGTCTCAAGTGTTCCAAATTAACTTAGACAAGTACTTTTTCTTTATTGATTCTGCTGGTAAGAACTTAGAATGTTATCTTAACAAGCCTGGCAAGTGTCTTTTGATAGTTTTCCTCTTAAAGACTTTCCAAGAGAAGGATACTGCTTTCCTTTTTAGCTTCCTCTTTGTTTGGAGCAAGTTATTAAGATTCTAAAACTTCAAACTATAATGATTCCCTCTTTTAATTCACCACCAAAGCTATTCTGAATTTCTGGTGATCCAGCAGTAAGTGCTGGGACTTAGATATGGTGCAGATAACTTGCTTTTTCTTTATAACCTCTATCCCATCCTGACTTTTAAGGCTTGAGAAAGTGGGGGGAAAAGGGACAGAAGCACATACTGAGGTACTGATTCATTGATTTGACTTCCTGTTACATATGGCATTACTGTTGGATTGTTTTTCTTCTCAGGAACCCTTCCATCAGTGGACCTGCTGTTTAACCTGGATCGTGTTACTGTTGTGGAACATTTATTCAAGTCAGTCTTGCTATATACTTTCAACAACTCCATTTCTTTTCCCTTTCCTGTTAAATGTGTATGCAACCTGGTGATAAAAGAGCCAAAGTTTTCTAGCAAGACTCTCCCTAGAGCTCCATACTCATTTACCTTTAACTCACAGTTTGAATTTAGAAAGAAATACAAATGGATTGAGATTGATGTGACAGCTCCTCTTGAACCTCTGGTGGCCTCCCACAAGAGGAATATTCACATGTCTGTAAATTTTACATGTGTGAAAGACCAGCTGCAGCATCCTTCAGCAAAGGACAGCCTGTTTAACATGACTCTTCTCGTAGCGCCCTCACTGCTTTTATATCTGAACGACACAAGTGCTCAGGCTTTTCACAGGTGGCATTCCCTCCACCCTAAAAAGAGGCCTTCACAGGGTCCTGACCAGAAGAGAGGGCTGTCTGCCTATCCCATGGGAGAAGAAGCTGCTGAGGGTGTAAGATCGTCCCGTCACCGGAGAGACCAGGAGAGTGTCAGCTCTGAATTGAAGAAGCCTCTGGTTCCAGCTTCATCCAATCTGAGTGAATATTTCAAACAGTTTCTTTTTCCCCAGAATGAATGTGAGCTCCATGACTTTAGACTTAGCTTTAGTCAGCTGAAGTGGGACAACTGGATTGTGGCCCCACACAAATACAACCCTAGATACTGTAAAGGGGACTGTCCCAGGGCGGTCGGACATCGGTATGGCTCTCCGGTTCACACCATGGTGCAGAACATCATCCATGAGAAACTTGACTCCTCAGTGCCGAGACCATCCTGTGTACCTGCCAAGTACAGTCCTTTGAGTGTTTTGGCCATCGAGCCTGATGGCTCAATCGCTTATAAAGAATATGAAGATATGATAGCCACTAAGTGTACATGTCGTTAACACAGACTCCCGTCAAGTAAAACCGTGAGTGTCCTGGCCAGTGTAAAAGCCGCACACCTGTCTGTGCCTTTGGGAGGAAGTTTCTTGTGTCAAATCTCTGTCTGTACTACAGTGTGTGTTGTGTGAGGAGGAGCCTGTGTAGATTAGCATATTCTGTGGCATCTGTCAATGTAAAGGGACAACAGCTGCCTTCCTCACGGCCAAATGTTTAAATGAAATGTATTTCTTTTGGAGAACTTTAAATTTTTTCCCAAGTGATTCTTTTTTCTTTTTGTAGGAGTTTTCTTTTTGATGTAAGAAAATAAAAAAACTTAATTAGCAAGAATTTTGGGTGAAATTTGCAGTTCTAGACAACTCAGAGTGCTATAGTCTTACTTAATGGAGGAATAAATTCCTGTGAGTGGCATAAATTTTCTGTGTGTGGTTTTAATTAAAGATTTGCTTTTAAATGGTCATTTGAGAGGGAGAGGAAGTGTGTCTAAAAGCTAGTCTTAGACTCAATTTAACTTACTATCCCTTTTTCAGAGTTAGACTAACTCTCTACCTAAATTAGACTAGAAAGTATACAATATATTGGGCTTCCCTGGTGGCTCAGTGGTAAAGAATCTGCCTGCCAATGCAGTAGATGTAGGTTCAACCACTGGAGAAGGAGATGGCAACCCATCCAGTGTTCTTGCCTGGCAAACCCCACAGACCGAGAAACCTGGCAGGCTGTATAGTCCATGGGGTCACAAAAGAGTCAGGCATGACCTAGCAACTAAACAACATACACTATAGCCAATTTCTGTTGTGTTAATGATTGGTACTAACTCTGTGCCTTAGATGGCTTTATTTAAAGGAAACAGCCTTGCAAATTTTCCCAAGAAATTGCAGAGTTTAAGATTTTTAAAACGTATTTTCTTCTCTGTATATTTAAAACTCTGAACCTTCGGAAGGCAGTCAAGAAGTGTTTTTTTTTTTTAGTTTGGTTTTGCTGCTTTCCCTCAGCTCCCATCACTCCACCCCTGCAGGTTTTTTCCAGGTGAATTTAGCACTGTTAGCACCAAATTTAGCTGGCAGTGACTAGGTTATATTACAGAGCAGCCCTTGTTTGGATATGAGGGCTTTTATGTGGGTTTTCAGTAAATCTACCTTGAGAGAGACCTGGAGGCAGGGAGTCCAGGGCTGAGCAGTGATTTCTGTTCCTGAGTTTGTAAAACCCTCATCTACAAATCAAAAGTACCTCCAAGGGACATCCCTGGTGGCCCAGTGGTTAAGAATCCGCCTTTCAATTCAGGGGACGTGGGTTCGATCCCTGGTCTGGGAGCTAAGATCCCACATGCTGCAGAGCAGCTAGTGTGTCACGTCCACAACTAGTCAAGACAGAATGCTGCAACTGACCCAACACAGCCATAAATAAATATTAAAAAAAAGTACCTCCAAGATGCAAGTACTTCTCATTCTTGTAAATTATCTTTGCTTGGTGCCTAGTGTCTGAAGAAGTCAGCTGGGATTTTGATAGAGACTGTGTTCAATCTGTAGATTAGTTTGGGGTGTATTGCCATCTTAACATCAAGACATCCAATCCATAGGTGTGGTGGATCCATTTATTTAGATCTTCAGCTGGTAAAGAATCTGCCTGCAGTGCAGTTCAGTCCCTGAGTTGGGAAGATCCCCTGGAGAAGGGAAAGGCTACCCATTCCAGTATTCTGGGCTGGAGAATTTCATGGACTGTGTTGTCCATGGGGTCACAAAGAGTCGGATACAACTGAGCGACTTTCACTTAAACCACTACAATATTGTAAAATAATTAGCCTCCAATTAAAATAAGTTTTAAAAAATAAAAAAATGTTTTGTAGTTTTCAAATACGTTTTGAACTTTATATTATTAAATTTATTTCTAAGTATTTTTTATGCTATTGGGAACGAAATATTTATTTTTGAGTTGTTTCCTAGTGTTATCTTGCATATACTTTATAAACCTGCACTGTCATAAATGTTCTTATCACCTCATGATTTTTTCCCTTCAAAACCCTTTTTTTCTTTTCTTTTTCTTTTTCAGAAAAATGGGACTGAAAACAAAAGCTTCAGGTGGCCCAGTTTCCAATAACTTTGCCATCTTGTTGTATAACTTGGAGTCATTATTCTTGGGTACATGAGGCTGCAAGAGTAAGAGAGAAATGATGTTTTGTTATTCTTAAGATTAAAAAATATTTGGAATAGTCAGGCTACAAGTGATGGTGACAGGGTACAACTGAGCTTATTAAATCTCCCTTAATATGCTAAAGGGAGCCAGAAGAGTTGCCTGAGCCCACAAAGTGTGCAGTGGAAGCTGGGGATTGATATTCCAGGCTTGACAAGAGTAGTAGTGGAAGCTTTTTGCCCCTAAGGTGGAATGGTTTGGAGTTGAATTATGTGCTCCAAAAGAGGTCACCTGTTAAATGACTTTTGTGTTCAACTTTTTGTGCAGACTTTTTGAAGGCATAGTGCACTGAACCCTGAAGTTCTAGAACATAGAAATCATAGGATTTCCATTTTAGTTGGAAACTTTCTTTCTGTGTAAAGAAACAAACATAGTTTAATGGGCAGATTGGCCCTTTGATATCATTTAGGCAGCAGCTCAATTCTTTGGGAAATTGAAAACTTTGTCTTACAAATCTCTGAAAACCATAACCTCTTTAAGATTATTTATCAAAATATAGTTTACCCTTAAACAACACAAGGGTTAGAGGTGCTGACCCCTTGCATAGTCAAAAATCCAAATGTAGGGACTTCCCTGGGGTCCTAGTGGTTAAGACTTCCACTGCAGGTTCATCCTTGATCGGGCAACTAAAGATTTCACATATGGCGAGACCAAAAAATAAAAAATTCACATGTAACTTATGATTCCCCACAAAATTTAACTACTAACAAACTGTTGACCAGAAGCCTTACCGGTATCATGAACAATCAATTAACACATATTTTGTTAGCTCTATGTGCTATAGGGCTTCCCTGGTGGCTCAGCGGTAAAGAACCCACCTGCCAATGCAGCAGACCCAGGTTTAATCCCGGAATCAGGAAGACCCGCTGGAGGAGGAAATGGCAACCCACTCCAGTATTCTTGCCTGGGAAATCCCCTGGACAGGTTTGGTGGGCTACAGTCCATGGGGTTGCAAAAGAGTTGGACACAACTTAGCTACTAAAAAACAAACAAGAAAATGTACTATATCCTGCATTCTTACAATAAAGTAACTTAGAGGAAAGAAGGAAAAAAAAAATCTCCCTTAAATATGGCTATCTTCAAATGGATCACATGAAATCTGTCCACTTTAAGGATCCCTTATAGTTCCCCAATCACCCTAAACTGGCATTTATTTCCTTAAACAGGGGAATTTGTTTTGCTTTATTGTTTGTTTGGGTTTTTTTTTTTTTTTTAATCATGGTTTAGTTTTGTGGCTGAGTATGGAATTTGGTCTGCAATCGGAAGGTTTTGAAAATGGTGGGGGAGTTTGATGGAAGTTAAGTATTAAAGTCAATGCCAAAATTAGGAGTAGATAAATAGTTCAACTATATAGATAAGTTCTAAAATTGTCTGACTTAGAACACTTTTGCATAGTGTTTTGATGCTATAACTGAGTAACTGTAGCTTGAAGATATGTGAGCTTGGCTTCCTCCCATCCCCTTACGCTTTATTTGTAATTTAGTCTCTTTCATAGGACATCGTTAATATTCAGGGCTTATGTTTGCTAAATTTAAACTTCAAAGATTCTCCTCTACACAATTGAGGAGGATATACTAGTCTCCCAGCTGCCTCCTCCATATGAAACCTGTTTTTCTTCAGTTACTCTTATAAAAGCTGCCAATTTAGAAAATAAATGAGAAAGGACAACAGTGATTTAGATCTGGAAATTCAAGGATGAGGCTACATCTGCCTTAAATAGATGCATTCAGCTTTGGTATTTAGTCCAGATGAGATACGAGGTCACTTAATGTGATGAGTGCCTTAGTGTGCCAAGAAACAATGGGCCATGTCAGGAGCTCGGATCACCTTCAGCTCCGAGTTTCCTGCTCTTTATCGGTTTAAATCAACTCCTCTGTTACGTTGAATACTTTGTTTTACTATACTAGCCAGCTTCAAGCATAGCAGCTGCTCAGGTTGGTTCAGAACTCAATTTAGCCAATCTGTGGGAAAAATTAGTTACCTTTTCATGAGGTAAAGGAAGTCCTCGTGGTTATTTAAGTGACAAAAGAAAAATGCTCAGGCAAAAGAACCTGGTTTTTTATATCAAAATTTTAAATAGTCAATTTTAATTTGTAACTTTGGAGGGATTGTGACATAAAATGATAATTAAAGTGAAATTAAAACATTTAAAATATTCTTTAGAATATTTAGAGGATGTAAATCCCCCCAAATATTTCTTAGGTATAAAGATTTCCTGAATGATTAATAGAGTAGAAAAGTATGCTGTTTTATACATTAACTGTTCTCTAAGAAGGAAAAATAAACACAACCAGGAGACTCAGACACTTCATCCTTAACCAGAAATGACAAGCCAAGTATGTTCTCTTTATGTGGTTAATTACTTCCAGATGGGAGTTGGGCTTCCCAAACCCTATATATATTACACAATTTTTGGAAACGGTCTTGATTTGTTAGTAAGACTAGGACTATTTCAATATTCATTTAAATAACAGGATATTGTAGATGGCCTGACAGTATTTCTCTCTTTTACCCTACTATGTAATACAACTTGTTTGGAAGAAATGAGTAATTAGATAAATGTGGATAAGCATCAACTGTACATTTTGGACATCTCATTAAGAATAAGTACCTTGTGAACAGTTTAGAGTCATTTGTAGAACTGTGTTTTGTGCTGGTGTCTTTCCACATTGAAGTGCTATGACTGGCAGTGTTAAGAGTTCACAGCCTGTGCCTGGATGTCATTTCAGTATTCTCAGAAATAATTAACTCATTGAATAAATATTTATTGAACACTGACTATGGGCTGGGTGCTGTGTGTGCTTAAGAACAGTTTGGTGTCCTCAGCTTCACCTACCAGAAAAGGAGACATCCTTTATTCCCCTAAATTCCATCAGTGAGCATTCATCACTGCAGAATGTTCTGTGAAGGAATACATTTGGGTCAAGGGAAATGTTGACCCTAAAATCAATATAGTTTTTATCTCGGGATGGAATTAATGGTTCAGTATGTTTTCATGTTAGACCATTTCGCCTCTACCTTTGAAACAGTATACCCACATTTTCTTTATCTATTCATCTGTGGATGGACACTTAGTTTCCTTCCATATCTTGGCAACTATAAATAATGCTGCTATGAACATTGCAGCACATTTATTGTTTCAAATTAGTATTTTTGTTTCTGGTAGATATATACCCAGGAGCAGAATAGCTGGGTCATATGGTAGTTTGGAGCTTCCCCAGTTGTTCAGCGGGTGAAGAATCTACCTACAATGCAGGAGCCACAGGAGATGTCCATTTGATCCCTGGGCTGGGAAGATCTCCTGGAGGAGCACATAGTAACCCACTCCAGTATTCTAGCCTGCAGAATACCATGGACAGAGGAGCCTGGCAGGCTACTGTCCATAGGGTCACAAACAGTCGGACGTGACTGAACTGACTAGCATGGTAGTTTTATGTTTAGTGTTTTTGTAAAATTTCATACTCTTTTCCACAGTAGCTGCACCAGTTTACATTCCCACCAATGGTGTATGAGAGTTCTCTTTTCTCTATATCCTCACCAACATTTCTCATTTGTGTTCTTTTTGACACTAGCGATTCTGACAGATGTGAGATGATATCTCATTGTGGTTTTAATTTGCATTGTTGAGAATGTTATCAATAGCTGGGGGTATGTCATATATGGCCTTTATTATCCTGTGAGGTATGTTCTTCTATACTTGTATACCCACTCTCTAGGGAGTTTTTAAATTTGTATTTACCTTTGGTTATACTGGATCTTCGTTGCTGTGCAGGCCTTTCTCTACTTTCAGGGGGCAAGGGCTGCCCCCTAGTTGCGGTGTGCATGTTTCTCATTGTGGTGGCTTCTCCTGTTGTGGAGCAGGATCTCTAGGGCACTGGGCTTCAATAGCTGCAGCTTGTGGGCTCAGCAGTTTTGGCTCCCAGGCACTATAGCACAGGCACTCAGGCTTAGTTGCTCTGCGGCATGAGAGATCCTCCCAGAAAGGGAAAGTCACTTAGTCGTGTATGACTCTTTGTGGATCCCATGGACTATACAGTCCATGGAATTCTCCAGGCCAGGATACTGGAGTGGGTAGCTGTTCCCTTCTCCAGGGGATCTCCCCAGACCAGGGACTGAACCCAAGTCTTCTGCATTGCAGGCAGATTTTTTATTATCTGAGCCACTAGGAAATCAGCTATCAGTAAGTATATATTCCCTCCCTTCCACCCCATCCCACCCATCTAGGTCATCACAGGGCACCGAGCTGAATTCCCTGTGCTATATGGCTGCTTCCCAGTAGCTATATTTTACACATGGTAGTGTATATATGTCAGTGCTACTCTCTCAATTTGTCCCACCTTCTTTCCCCACTGTGTCCACAAGTCTGAGAAACTTGGAGACTTTAAACTACAATTTTACTTATTCAATAAATATTTACTGGGCACACCCTACATGTAAGGGACTCTTCCAGATGCTGATATGAATGGTTAACAAGATAATCATGGCGCTTGATCTTATGGAGTGTCTATTACATGGGAAAGAGACAGACAATAAACAATTAAACAATACAAGTAGAGATATGCAGGAACTTCTAGGCAGAACAAATGGATGTGAGAAGAAACTTCTGTTCCAAGAACAGAAAGAACTGGGTGTGATTGGCAAGTGGGAAAGGAGAAAGAATGGGCAGAAGCAAGTGGAGTGGAAGGAGAAGAGACTGAAGAAGCAGACAAACCAGATGATGCAAGACCTTGTTGACCAGTGCAAAGGGATTGGACTTATATGTCTGGTTCAACCGGAAGCCCTTGAGAGTGTTTAATTGGGGACCTGAAAGGGTTAGATTCATTGTTTTTTTAAGATCATATCAGTATTCTATGTAGAGTTGTTTGACAGAGATGAGTCTGAAGCAGGGAGAACTTTGGGTTTTAGGGGGCTGTTGTCATGGTCCAGGTGAGAGATGATGCTGACTTGGAATGTGGCAGTGGAGACGGGCATGCAAAGACATGAAGAAACATGAAATTTACTTTTGTGACCTCCATTTGTTACTTGGCCTATCTCTCTGAGCTTGTAGGATGGCAGTTTTCTACTAAGAGAAGAAACTTAGGTTCTTATGGTGAAATGAAGAGCTAAAACTTGTCCTATTCCTTTACTTCATATTCCCATCCATGTGAGCTGCCTCTTAATTATAATTTTTTCATTGTTCTGTTTGTTTTCTTCTTGAATTATTTCTTGAGTTTTGTTTCTGTTTGTTCGGGTTTTGCCTTTCACATTGGAAGCTTTTCTCAAATGTCTTTTGTCCATTTCTAAGTATAAGGCTCTAGAAAGCTGTTGGAAGCTCTGCATGGGAGGGTGAGATGTGTTAATTTATGGACTCTTTAGTTTGAGGCTCCTCTGTTTCTTTAAGTTTTTGTGCAAAAAAATTATCCACCCTTCTGGTGGAAGAAAGATGGGTCAAAGATGTATCCTTAGCTGCTGGTAGTCTTCAAGCCCAGCAATGCAAAGGACTGTAAACTTTTACCTAATCCCTTTTTATTACAATACTGACTGCATCTCTTCCCCCAACCTCCACAACGCCTCTTTGTTTTAACTCTTCTGTCTGGAACTATTTTGATTCAACTCTTACATAAAGTCAGGGCTTCCCTCATAACTCAGTTGGTAAAGAATCTGCCTGAAATGCAGGAGACCCCAGTTTGATTCCTGGGTCAGGAAGATCCCCTGTAGAAGGGATAGGCTACCCACTCCAGTATTCTTGGGCTTCCCTTGCGGATCAGATGGTAAAGAGTATGTCTGCGATGCAGGAGACCTGGGTTTGATCCCTGGGTTAGGAAGATCCCCTGGAGAAGGG